GAAGTCAACACTGTCCCGAATACCGCAGCCAGCACTAGGGTCACCACCGACGCCAGTGCTGACCCCAGCACCGACGCGAGTTCCGACCCCAGCATCGACCACAGCATTGGCGCTAGCAGCGAGGACGGCAGTGACTCCAGCGCAGGATCAAGTATCGACACAAGCACCGAGGACAGCACCGACTCCAACACATGAGCCTGAATCGACGTCCGTGTTTATGCCAGTATCGACCCCAGCATCGGCGCGCTCAACGACGCCAGCATCGCAACAAACAATGAAGACAGAAGCGACCCCAGAACCACAGCCAGCACCACCGCCAGCGTCTACACCAGCACCGACCATAGCATCGACCCCAGCACCGACGCAATAACTAACCTCGACATCAACACCTTCATTGAAGATGGCACGGCCTCTAGCACCAGGGCCAGTATTTACGTCAGTTGCGTCATTACAAATACCAGTAGCGACTCCAGCATCGACGCCATCATGGCTTCCGAGCCAGGCACGACTGCTGGCTCCTGACGCTCTACGGCCGCGCGTGGCGGGCGCCGGCCTCGCCAGGCGCGCACCGCGCGGTGCTGCCGGGGGAGGGGCCCGTGGACTGGGAGGCCGCGCTCGGTGCACTAAGGCCACCGGGAGCCAGGAACCCCAGGAGGAGGAGGAGGGGAGGAGGAGGGAGTCTTCGATGAGCGGCGTAATGATTACGGAGTGCGAGAAATCTGGATTGAGGATTAGGATGAATGCGATGAGTGCGAGAGTATGAGGATGAGGAGTGAGCGGATGAATGCGGCAGTTAGGAGTAGGAGGAGAGGAGGAGGGGTAGGCGGGATGAGGATGACCTCCTGCCTGAGTCGGTCTTCGTCGGCGGCGGCTGGGGTCTGCTCGGCTTGAGCGCGGAGGCGGCGGAGTGCGTCCGGATGCCGGCGCGGGTGGTGTCGGGGGAGGGGGGGCTGGGGGAGGGGGCGGGTGGCGGGGCGGGGGGTCATGGGGGAAGCGGCGGAGGTAGGAGGCGGAGGCGGAGGAGCAGGAGGCGGCGGCGAGCCTGCTGATGCGGCGGAGTCGGCGGTCTGCGGCGTATCGGGAGGAGGCGGCGGTCGGAGGCGGAGGCGCGGAGGAGGAGAGATGCGGCGGAGGAGCGGGACCGCGGCGTGCGGAGTCGGACGGCGGAGAGCCCTGACGTAGGAGGAGGGAGGAGACGGAGGCGGCGGAGGGTTGATGGGGCGCGGCGTCTGCATCGCGCGGGGACGGAGGGGCTCTGATGCAGGGCGGAATGCGTCGCTTTCGGCGGCTGCGACTGACTATGAGGAGGCGGATGCGTAGGCAGGCGGAGGAGGGGCCGGGGGAGGGGGGGGGGTGGTTAAGGGGGGTGGGTTAGGAGGCGGCGGCTGCGAGGCGGATTCCGGCTGCGGATGCGTGCTTACGCGCGGGGCTGCGTCTGCTGCGGCTTCGGAGGATTCGGAGGCGGTGGGTAGGCGGGAGGCGTCGTCGTGATTCTTCGGCTGAGGAGGGATGAGGGTCGGGCGGGGCGGCGGAGGAGTCGCACGAGGAGGATTATGAGGCGTAGGAGGCAGGCGTACGCGGAGGCGGCGCGGTGCGGAGGAGGAGGCGGGGCGTCGACTTGCGCGTCTTCGGCATTGCGCGGCCGGATGAGGACGGAGGAGGGGCAGGGCGATGACGAGCGGGATGGAGAGGCATCTTTGAGCGGGACCCCCAGTCGCACCGTGCCCACGAATGTTGGACGGCGGATTTGCAGAACCCAGCAAACGGCTACCTGGTCTCTGACAGCTTAGTGGTTGAATTGTGCGTCAGAGCCCAAGAACAGCCTGATCCGTCGAAAGGGGATTGTCCAGCACCTTCCTCCTTCTCCTGCTTCTTCTCGTCCTCCTGTCCTTATTTTTCCTGCTTATTTCTCGTCTCCGTAGTTGTCCTTCTCCTCTTTCTCATCCCCTTCCTCGTTGCCGTCGTCGTCGCCGTCGTCGTCCTCCTCCTCCTCCTCCTCCTCCTCCTCCTCCTCTGCTCCTCTCCCTCTTCCCCATCCTCAACCTCCTCTTCCTTCTCCTCCTCCGCCTCCTCCGCCTCCTCCGCCTCCTCCTCCTCCTCCTCCTCCTCCTCCTCCTCCTCCTGATCTTCCTTCAGTGTTCGTTTTGGCTCAAGCGTGGCACGGATTCGTCGTTTAGCGCCTGCGCTTGCCGCCGAGCTCGTGCCGCTGGAGGAGCAGGTCGCATTGGCTACGGGAGGCGGCACGAGGTCGTGGTTGCCGAGTCAGAAGCGCAGACCCTCCCTGTCGGCCCTGACGAGTGCTCTGACTATTCTATGGGCCACAACGCGCTCTGCGCCCCCGTTCCCCAGACCCCCCCCCAGCGCGCCCCCGGCATTGCCGCAGCGCGTCCGGCACCACAGCCTGCCACGGTGGGGCCCTACACAAGGTTGTGGGACGGACGTCACCCGACTCTACAGTCCACCCCCTCTGGTGCAGCGCACGCCCTACAGCTCGGACAGGCCGTGTGTAGCCGGCGTGTACCACCGTCAGGGCCCCTTACACGCAAGGCCCCATAGCGCAGCAGGGAAGTAGCCTAGGCAACAGCCCCCGAGCGCCCGCTGTCGCCGCGGACGGAAGACTGCTCTCGTGCTGCCGCCCGCCGCGCAGCTCGCCGCAGGCGGCAGGCAGCCCGAGGGGGCCTCCCTGCGCGCGTGGGCCCGAGAGGCCCAAGACTGCGAGAAGCCTCCCCGCCTCGATATTTCTCCGAGGCGCCCGACGTCTGGGCAGGTCCCGCTGCCGCCGGGGGAGGAGGAGGAGGAGGGGGGGGAGGAGGAAGGAGGAGGAGGGAGGGGAGGATGAGGAGGAGGAGGAGGAGGAGGAGAGAAGGAGGAGGAGGAGGAGGAGGAGGAGGAGGAGTAGTAGGAGGAGGAGGGGAGGAGGAGGAGGTGGAAGTGAGGGAAGGAGGAGGAGGAGGAGGTGTCTTCCGGCCGTGCCCGCCGCCGCCGCCGCGCGGCGCGGCGCGGAGCGCGGACTCCTCCCCCGGAGGGCTCCCGGCGGCTGCGGGGGGTGGCGAGGTCACCGCGGCAGCGGCGGGGCCCAGGTTGGGCGGCTCTGCGCGGCCGATCCTGAAGGGGATGGGGAGGGTCTAGTCGGGGGCGGAAAAGAGGGGGGTGATGACTAGGGGTGGGTGGGTATCATGGCGGGGGCCATGACATTTTCCTATCTTTCATGGCGCCTCTTCTTATTTCATTACGTCCCTGGCCCCCCCGCTGGGCCGCGCACATGCCGCCGGTCATGATTTGCACCCCCCCTCTTGGACACCTCCCTCTTGGCCGCTCCCGATCTAGGCCTCCTAGATTTATGTCGGGCCTGTCCCCCTACAGGGGGATTTTCGACGAAACAAAAAAAATAGACCCCCAACATGCCCCGAAAAGGTCAGAAAATACCCCCAAAATAGTCCCCAGACGATTCTTGTATTATCTTTCGATGTTTTTTGGGGTATTTTTTAGTTTTCGTCGAAAATCCCCCTGTGGGGGGACACGCCCGACTTAAGTCTAGGCCTCCGAGGTGGGGTCGGAGTAGATGGGGTCGGAGGATCGCGCCGCATCGCCGGTGCATCGGCGATGCGGCGCGATACGGAGCCGGCTTTTCTTCACGCTGGCGTCGCCGATGCATCGCCCACGTCGACAATGCATCGCCAGTGCATTGCCGATGCATCGCCGATGCATCGCCGATGTATCGGCGATGCGTCGCGATCCTCCGACCCTATCTACTCCGACCCCACCTAGGAGGCTGCTAGAGGGGCGGAACGACCGGGAGGTGTGGGACGATACTGTGGTTGGCTCGGGCATGTCCCTCTACGGGAGGAGTATTCCAAGATAGTCAAAACATGGTCTGGGGACGATGTTCTTTTTTTGTGTGTGTAACTATTTTTGAACATGTTTTGACTATTAATTTCCACTGTAAGGGCTTCGCCCCCATGCCGCTGGCCCCCCTCTCTTAGAATGGGACTTGCCGGAGCAGTGTTGGGATGTCTGGACGCTGACGCGAAGCAATGTCGGGATTTCACGCGAGGGCCAATCTTAATATACGAGGGTTTATGGTTTCGATGTTGCGAACATTAGATAAGTTATTATGGTTTATGGCTTCGGGGACGCGACTAGTGCATAATTTACGAGGGTTCGTGGCCTCGGGGACACAAACATGGTATAATTTGCAGCAAGGTTTATGGCCACAGGGGGCGCAACTATTGCGTCATTTACACGGGTTTATGGCCTGTGGGACGCGAATATGGTGTACTTCGCGAGGGCTTTTATTGCCTCGGGGACGCAAGCCTGGTATAATTTACAAGGGTTTATGGCCCTGCGCGAATATCTTAATAATTTTCGAAGGTGTATGGTTTCGGGGGCGTGAGCATTTGTAGTTTACATGATTTGTGGTCTCGTGGGCTTCGGGGGCGCGAGTAGTAGTTTTTTTTGTTCTCGTTCGGGGACGCGAGTATTGCATAAGTTACGAGGGGTTATGGCCTCGGGGACGCAAGTATTGCATACATTTTGGAAGATTACGACCTCGGGCACAAATTTACTGTGCAATTAATGACGGTTTATGGTATCGGGAATGCAGATATTGTATAATTTAATAAGGCTTGTGGCTTCGGGGGCGCGATTATTGCGTAAGATACAAGGATTTATGGCTTCGGGGACGCAGCTATTGTATAATCTACGAGGTCGTATGGCCTCGGGGACGCGAGACTTGCTTACTTTACTATGGTTTATGGCTTCGGGAACGCGAATCTCAAGTAATTTGCCAGGTTTTGTGATTACGGGGACGCGAACATTGCATATTCTATATAAAGGTTCATGGGTTCGGGAATGCGGATATTGCATACATTACAAAGGATTATGGCTTCGGGGGCGCGAATATGGTGTATTTTATAACGGTTTATGGCTTCGGGAGCGCGAGTATTGTATACTTGATATGGGTTTATGGCTTCGGGGACGCGAGCATCGCGTAATTTACGAACGCGTATGATTTCGGGGATGCCAATATTGTACAAGTTACAACAAGTTTTATGGCCACGGGGGCGCGACTATTGCGTATGTTACCAGGGTTTATGGTTTCGCGGGCGCGAATCTAATTGTTTAACTGTCCCACGACCCCCCAGGAATGTAGAGCACGCGATTCGGGGGTGCTAACCAGGACACTTTTCGGCTCCCCCCCCTCGCGCGTTCAGCAACAATTAACAGTAAGGAAACAGACATCAGGAATCCGTATGTGCTTGCCATCCCGCCCATGAAGCGTGGCATCGCCATCAATGCCGTATCCTCCTCCTCCTCCTCCTCCTCCTCCTTCCCCCCTCTTTCAACATACTCGCTGGACTTGCCCTGGTACTCGTTCTGTCCAGAATCCCCGGGTGGATCCAGCCGCAGCGACATGGACGCCCTCTGATTTCCCCAACAACAATAATCGCCCACAAAACTCTGTGGTCCCTCCTGCTGCTGCTGTATTCCTTCTCCTTCGAACTAATTCCTCCCTGTCGCACCCCGGGGCCAGTCGGAAGGGCGGGCCGCGCGTTTCGATTGAGATTTCATTACCATTCATGATCCTGAAGCTTCGAAATTGGCAACAGCTTCACAGATGGAGGGCGGGCCGCTTCCAACATGTGGCTCTCGCCTAGACGCCGCGCGCACTCGCGTTTCAAACATTGCATGAGTTTCGCGGATTGAAGGCGAGTGGTTTTCACAATGTGATTCTCGCCTTAGCGCCGCGCACATTGGTTTCAAAACATGCAGCAATTGCGCAGGTGGTGTGCGGATCCCGTTCAAATTGTGGCTCTCGCTTAAGCGCAGTGCGCATTCGTAAGCAAACGTGCAAGGGCTTCACATATGGAGGGTGGTTCCTTTTCAAAATGTGGCCTTCGCCCCAGCATGTGTCAGAGTTTCACTGAATCTGATGGTGGCTTCGTCTCCAACATGTGTTAGAGTTTGACTGAATCTCATGGTCAACACCAGAAAAGGGTGTTTTGGAACGACAGGATTGGTAGGGCGCAGTAGTTCCGTTGATTCGTTGTGCTGAAGTCCCAGGAATGGTGTTTTGTTGCCGATAAGGATTGTCAATACGCAACAGCGGTGCTGAAACTTCGAGGCTTGTCCATTGGCGCGCTTCAGGATCTTCAGACGGTTGTCCCCCAATGGGGCAGTTCCCTCAGTGGAAATGAGCCCTTGAAGGGGCCTGTGAGAGGGAGCTTGGAGAGAGTGTCTATTTCAACATCTTTGATGATTCTTGGGTTTGCAGTGGTCCTCTTCTTCCTCATCCTCTGCCCTCCTGCTCCATCACTTCACGTTAAAGGTAGGTTTTTCCTGCCGCGCCACGAGTCCTGCCGCCGGAGACTCTCTTACAACGTGTTTTCCCGAAGATTAGATGCTGATGCGATGATGGGGGGCCAGTCGTTTTAAACATCTGGCTCTCGCCTCTCAATCATCCGTCTCAACATATTCCAGCAATGACACGCGTGCAAGGCCCGTCGTTGTCAAAATGTGGTTCTCGCCCCACAGCCGCGCGCGTTAGAATTTCATAAAAGATTCCATCAGTTGCACTGGCGATGGCCCCTCGTTTTCAAAGTGTGGCCTTCGCCTGGCGGCGTGAAGCCATGCCGCCGGCGACGAGACGCATGCTTTTCTCACGGTAAGCACATCACATTCTGAGTCTGAGGAAGAAGGATCCTCCGACGACGGCGCCATCATGGCGTGCCTTCTCTCTCACGGCTTCCAGGTCACTATTGGTGGTCTTCGTGGAGAGCTTCGGCCACGCGGCGGCGCAGATTC